CTATACTGATCGCAGAGGTTTCCCTTTAAACCAGGAAAAGCCTAGGAGCCAGTGTCATAGCTGGATGCGTCCTGCCAGGAAATGTGGCTGCAGCCGATAGGACACCATTGGTGGGCAAAGTAAGACAGCCAAAACGTGCTTACAGTCAGGTGTGTCCACGACGGCACCAAGTACATGGATTCAGAGGCCAGGTGGCTACGAATCTCCTCCTACTACTACCTTGAGGCTCTTGGGAAAATTAATTAACCTCATTTTTTTTTTCATTTGCAGCCTCACAGGATTGTTGTACACTTGAGAGATTGGTATAGTGCATAGCAGAGCTCCTGGCATTCAGAGTCAGCACTGACTACACTCCAGCTATTTCTATGAAGGGGAAATTTAATGTGATGGTCAAGAGCGTGAACCAGACTTGGCTAGAACACTGACTGACTATTTCTACCTGTGTGGCCTTGGAAGTCACTTCACCTTTCTTTCTTTTTTTTCTTTTTTCGACAGGCAGAATTAGACAGTGAGAGAGAGAGAGAGACAGGGAGAGAAAGGTCTTCCCTTTCCATTGGTTCACCCCCGAAATGGCTTCTACGGCCGGCGCATCACACTGATCCGAAGGCAGGAGCCAGGTGCTTCTGCTGGTCTCCCATGAGATGCAGCGCCCAAGCACTTGGGCCATCCTCCACTGCACTCCCAGGCCACAGCAGAGAGCTAGACTGGAAGAGGAGCAACGGGGACAGAATCCGGTGCCCCAACCGGGACTAGAACCCAGGGTGCCAGCACCAAAGGTGGAGGATTAGCCTAGTGAGCCGCGGCGCCGGCCTCATCACTTCACCTTTCAGTGCCACAGTTTCCTCTTCTGGAAAATGATGTGGTACAGATCTCCAAGGCTTGCTAGGAACATGAGCTGAGTTCTTACCTGCAAAGCACTTAGAATGGGGGAGGCATGTTAGGGTCTAAGGAGCCTCCTTGCTGTTTCTAGCAATTACTTCATTCCAGTGTCTGTTATAGAGCATCTACAATGCACATGAAATAGATGTTAGGAAGGATTTTAAAATTGTAAAGCACAGTCACTTTTTAAAAATTTACTTGAGAGGCAGAGAGAGACAGAGACAGAGAGAGAACAAGCTCTTATCTGCTGGTTCACTTCCCAAATGCCTGCAGTATCCAGAGTTAGGCCAGACTGAAGCTGGGAGCCAGAAATTCAGTCTAGGTCTCTCATGTGAGTGGAGGAACCCAATTACTTGAGCCATCACTGCTGTCCTCCAGTATCTGCATTAGGAAGTCAGGAGCTAGAACCAGGTATGAACCCAGGTAGTCTGATGTAGGGTATAGGTTAGCTGGCATTTTAACTGCTAGGCTAAAGAACACAAATCCTAAAAGAGAAAACACAGTTGGCAATGTCAGCCAACATGGTGTGTGACTAAATTCCACTGCAAGTACATGGGTAGGGAAATTCAGAGGCAGAGGGTTTGCCATGGGATTGGGGAGAGTACACAGTCTGAGCAGGCAGCTAAGGCATTAAGGCAGATCTTGAAGGAGGAGTAAGAATGACAAGGCCGGGGCTGGCGTCATGACACAGTAAGTGAATCCTCCGCCTGCGGCACCGGCATCCCACATGGGCACTGGTTCTAGTCCCGGCTGCTCCTCTTCCCATCCAGCTCTCTGTTATGGCCTGGGAAAGCGGTAGAAGATGGCCCAAGTCCTTGGGCCCCTGCACCCGCATGGAAGACCAGGAGGAGGCCCATTGCGGCCATTTGGGGAGTGGACCAACGGAGGGAGGACCTTTCTCTCTGTCTCTCCCTTTCATTGTCTGTAACTCTACCTCTCAAATGAATAAATAAAATCTTTAAAAAAAAAAAAAAAAGGTCATACTACTATACTACTGTAGTTTAAAAAAGAAAAGAGTGAGAGGGCCAGAGTTAGGGAGCAAAGAGGTTCTAGGTCCTGGGGCTGCGTAGGCAAGACAAGGCTGCAGAAACATGATGGTCCTCCCAGGGTCTAGTGAGAGGCCAGTGTGAACGGCATGGAAGGATGATTTTGGAGAGGTGGATTGGGGCCAGTTTGTGAAGGACCTTTAAGTGCTAGGCTATTGCATGAACATCTAAACTGTAAGCAGTGTGGAACCAAGCAGTGTATTGGCAATTTAGGACTTCAATGTTGATTTTAAAAATACTCATTAGAAAAAAAGTAGCAGTGTAAATACAGTCATGAACAGCTTAATTACGAGGATATATTCTGAAAAATTAGGCCATTTCATCATTGTGTGAACCTTGTAGAATGCATTTACCGAAACCTAGACAGTGTAGGCCAATCACTGGACGTGACCTCTGGAAGCAGACAAGAGACAATGTAAGCATGAGATTCCTGTGGCTGCTGCCAGCATGACCTGGTATACTGTTCCTACAGTAAGCTTTTTTTCTATAAATAGAAGAACAATCTAAAACAGTGATCAAAGCGTGGTATAGTAAATACACACACCGGTACATAGCCATTCATTACTATCATCAAGTATCACCTGTGCACAGTTGTGCTGACAACACATTTGGTTTGTTGACACCAGCACCACCACAAAGCAGTGAGGAATGCTCTGTGCTTTGATGTCACCATGGTTACCACATCACCACGCAATAGGGACTTTTCAGCTCCATTATGATCTTATGGAACCACCATCATATATGCAGTCTGCTGTTGACCAAAATGTCACTATGTGGTGCTCGGTTATTTAGGCTCCACTGCATATGAAGAAAACAAGAATCATGCAAGTTGGGGTTGGGGCGTAAGTTCAGTGAACAAGTTGCACAGGCAGTCTGACAGACCACAAGCCGCCACCTTTGCTATAGAGCCAGATTACCCCGAGTGCCTACTGTGGCTCAGGGGTCAGAAGGAAGGAAACTCAGGCCTGTTGAGTGCCCACCCATGCCAGTGACTCACACAGAGATTACGTATTATCATTTTTTTTTTTGACAGGCAGAGTGGACAGTGAGAGAGAGAGACAGAGAGAAAGGTCTTCCTTTGCCGTTGGCTCACCCTCCAATGGCCGCTGCGGCCGTCGCCCTGCGGCCGGCGCACCGCGCTGATCCGAAGGCAGGAGCCAGGTGTTTCTCCTGGTCTCCCATGGGGTGCAGGGCCCAAGGACTTGGGCCATCCTCCACTGCACTCCCGGGCCACAGCAGAGAGCTGGCCTGGAAGAGGGGCAACCGGGACAGAATCCAGCGCTCCAACAGGACTAGAACCTGGTGTGCTGGCGCCGCAAGGCAGAGGATTAGCCTAGTGAGCCGCGGCGCCAGCTAATTACATATTATTTTATTTAGTCCTCATAACAACCTATGAGAGCAATATTATCATTCTCATTTTAGAGACAAAGAAACTGAATCCCAGAGAAGTCACAAGTGCAGTCAGTCACAGATCGGGGATTTGGACCCAGGTACCAGGTACCAGGCCCCAGAACCTCAGCATTTCCCACTTGACACCAGGTGCCTTTTCCCCCTAAAACTTACTGCAGCTCAAATTAAGTGAAGTAGCAAATGTGGTAACATAAAAACTTTCCTCCCGTCCTCTTTTCTCTCCTTAAGGGATGTCTAAATTTTACCCTCCCTTTGCCTTGAAACCACACCCAAATCACAGAGAGCTATAATTTCACAGTTTATTTTTTTTTTTAAAGCTAACAACTTTTCCTTTCCTCCGCCTTTCCCTCTGCAACTTCTAACACACCCTACATGGCTTGATACTGTTCAGAGCTGAACACACATCTAATGGGAAATATTAAATAATGACTTTTGTGATTTCCTTTTTACCCCAAGGCTGATGAGAGCCATCTGTCTCAGGCTTCACAGAAAACCCAAAGGAAATGATGGCCATACTCTGTTTCACTTTGTTTACTGTCTACCAACAAGCACAGAGAAGCTACTTGTTATTTTAATCTAAACAAGTTCCTCATTCTGCTTTTGAAAGTCATCCTCTGCAGGTAGAGTGTGTGTGTGTGTGTGTGTGTGTGTGTGTGTGTGTGTCTGCAAGAGAAACTTAGCATCCCTCCCTAATCAGTACTGGATTCTGCAAGATTCTCACTTAACATGCTTCCTTCTATTTTTCTCCCAGAAGGTGCTAGATTTCTCAAATTGAATGCTGTATTCTCTGACTTATTGTCACTCCCATAATGCAAGAAGTCATATCCCTCCTTTATATATACTTTCTTGATTCCTCCAGCACTGATTATATTATAATTTGATTTTTTTTTTTTTTGCCCACTCTAAAGTGGAATCCTGAGTCATAGTTGCACAGTCTTTCTTTCCAGCCTCAGATGTTCCTTGCCTGGAACTGATATGTTGTACAGCCTGTCTCCCGCATCACTCAGGGTGGTGTCTGTCACTCTGGGCTTCAGACTCATGTGGACTCACTGAGGAGGACCTGAGCTTAATTTCTAGCCCTGGGCTTAATTTCTAGGCCAAAGAAATTCATGTACAGCCTCCACAGCTGTCTTCTAAACGTTCACTTTGGCAAGTGTTACCTTCATTCCATCAGGATTGTCCACTTTGAGGGGTCATCAGGCCAGTGTGTACAACTGTGCAATTCCAGCCCCAGTGCACAGCCGTCACCTAGACTACCATGTGAGTAGTGCTCCTGGAACTGAGCAGGGCACATCTGCCCAACCATGCATAACAGCCTTTCAGCAGGAAACTTACTTTCCCCTAATAGAAATGATTTTCTTCATCTTTAATGTGTTTTTTGTTTGCCTGAACATTATAATCAAGGTCTTGTAAGTAAAAAAAACAGTGATACAAGCTATCTGGATGCTCTGTATGTCCATATTCCTTAAACCTTATCTTTATTTTCCTTATATTTTTATTATTTTTCAGAATAACTGACCTTGTTTTAAAAGAATTTTAAAGTCAATGAGCAATGAAAGTCTTGAGCGATGAAAGACTGCATTGTGTGTTGTCCCCAGTAAATGAGAGTGAATTTAGAAAAGAGGAGTTTTTAACAGGAGGCAAAACAGTCATCACACCAACGGCTCTAAACCCAGTCACATTTATTTCAAAACATAAGGTTCAGTGCATATTAATAAATATCATTAACACTGCTGTGCCTGTTCCGTGAAGACACTCTGCTAAGAACCGGAGAAAAAGTGTTCTTTACAGCTGGGTCCCCGAAACAGCCTAGGCTGGGAATAGCCTCATGACTGTTGAGGGAAATTGGGGGAGGGCATGAGAGGAGTTGACAAAATCAGGAAGGATTTTCTACTCTTCTTTCCTTACTGGGACCTTAAAATTAAATATCTGGAGGTACAGAATATACCTTTACACACACACACACACACACACACAATCCTCAATTTTGGAGAAGAATCACTAGTGAGTATCAGGGTGAGAAACTGTCAACAAATCCCCAATTTGAATCAAAATCATATTACTGTGGTTGCTGCTGTGGTCAAGGCATTGTTCAGAGCCCAAGCAGCAGCTGATGCTGGGCTTAAAAGCCAGGCCCAACAGCCATATCACAGACAGGAGCATTGAAGGTACTGCACAGTGCCGATGGCCACCTCAGGGAGCTCTCTGTAGATCTGCACTGGCTTTGTAGACGCCCGTCATCCTATGAATCCCACCCTCTGCGGCTGGGGGGCACACGCTAGCCAGGCAGCTGCCCAGGCCCCTCACCATGGAGGAAGCCCCAGCTGATGACTTCTTTTTCTGTAAACTCTAAATGAAGCAGAATCACACAGAGTTGGGTTCCTTCCTCCTAATGATAATAAATTGTTCCCAAGAGGCACAAAGGGAGCCCCCCACACACACCTCCCCCACCCCCCCCCACCCCCCGCCCCCGCGCTGAGATCAGCCTCTGTGGCAGCAGGATGCGCCTGCTCTGGGAGCTTCGGGACATGGAGAGGCCCCTCGGCTACCCATGACTTCCTCAGATCCCTTCCCAAAGACTCCACTTCCCAGACCGTGAAAAGGAATAGGAAGCTTCACCCTAAAAGCCACCATTGCTTGCAGTGGTGAGGAAGGACAGAGAGAGCTCCTTCGTTTTGTTACATGATTTCATAGCCAAGAGCAAGCTGAAGGCCGCTACAGAGGTGCATACCTAGCACTGAGAGTTCAGTTTGCAAAAATTTCAAAGGGAAGGGTTGTCTCAGGTCTGGCACATCCGAAAGCAGCTGAAGGCCAAGACTAGCCGAGGAGCAACACCAGCAGGATGACCGGAGGCAGCCTCGTGTCCATGGGTACTAGAATCTCAGGGCTTCCTCTCAAGCAGGGCAGGGGCTCAGCAAGGTCCTTGGTCAGCTCCTCCATTTCCCAGCAGCGGCCCGGAGGTCTGGAGAGGTGGACTGGCCTCGCCATGCCACACAGCTGTACTATCTGCTCGGGGGACGTGGAGAGGTACTGAGGGGCTGCAGTGAGTGGGGAGGTGCAGTGAACATTGTGCAGCACATGGTGAGACAGCACTCAGAACCCCGTGCACCTGGAAGCTTCCCACCCCTGGGCCCTCTCCTGGTCGTCTGTCTGTCACGGGAACAGGCAGGTCCTGGAGGAGCTTCCCTCGGGAGGGATGCGCAGCTGCAGCTGCGCTCACTTCCCAGTGCGGGAGGCCGCCTGGATGGCTTTGATCCACTCTGTGCGCTCCTCGGGGGCGGCGGCTTGCAGGAAATAATGCACTTCATCAGCAGTGATGATCTCGAAGAGGTTCTCTGTATCACTCTTCTTGCCTGGTGAAACAGGAAGCAAATCACGCACAGGCACAAGCAAGGCCACCTGGCCCACACTCCGTCTGCAAGTCACAGATCCCTTTGGTTTTTATTGTTCTCGAAATTAAATATGCTGTTTTCAAACATACAAATACTGCATGATTGTATATACATATCATTCACATAGGTAGGAACTTGGAGTATGACTATGTGTGTATATATTTTAAGAAATAAATTAACATTCAATGAGAGAAATATTTTCTTTCATAGTTTATAAGCAAACTAAATTTCTCATGTTTTTCTACCAATAGTGTTTAATGAGTAACTCCTAATAGGATCTAAAGAGTACCTTTTCTCTGTTCATAATATAAACCAAGGGCTGACAATAATAAAATAAAAGATATGTGATATATAATAATATAACATAATAATTATAATAATATACATCAGTGCCACAAGTAGAGCCTGAAGTGATTTTATCAGAAGTAGCACTTCTGTTGTAAGAGCAAAAAGCAATATACCAGTCAATACTGTGACAAGACTTAAAAAATCTATCTCAAATAAAAAAGCAGTATGCTCCCTGTTCTAAAACTAAAGCAGAATTCTAGGGGGCGTAGGAGTAGGCAGATCCAGGGGTAGCAAAACTCCATGCTTTGGCATCTGTGGTGTTTTTCTGACAGCCTCTGTAACACCATAACCAAGGTTAGGGCTGTCAAAGCCACATCTTGCCAGCGACACCATTTGTGTCCAACACCCACATGGTTGTTCCATGCTCCAGATCACAGACTTGTGAAGCAGGGGGGACCGAGAGGTCACCTGGGGCAAGCCCTGAAGTGTTAGAGCAGGAACTGATGCAGGGCAGGTGGTGATTCACCCAAGGACAGCCGTGTGACTGACCAGCAGCGACAAGTCACACCCCGGCTGCTCTGTCTGCTTCCACACTCCCTCTCTGCACGAATGCTCCTGTTGCTGTGGGCACTTCCTGGTCTGGAGAAGTAAAAGTTCTCCTTTAAGGACAGTCGTGACTGAATTACAGGCATCAGGAGCGAACAAGTTCTCTCTCCAGCTGAGCCAGTTCTGGGGTCGTAGATTTTACTCAGCACTGCTCGAGGACCACTGGGGACATCCACAAGGCCACTTCAACCCCTGAGGTCTAAAGAGTGAAGCGACAGTTGGGAGCAAATAGCTTTTGGTCTCTCCAAGATTTTCAGACCGTTAATTCATTCACACTTATGCCAACTGACTGATCGATTACGGTTGACTCAGTATGTCCAGGTGTAGGGAGGGAGACTGAGCAGAAATCCCCTCCCACAGAAATTCATTCTTACCATGTGGGCAGAAATCCCCTCCCACAGAAATTCATTCTTACCATGTGGGCTGCTCTCCACTGAAGTCACCACACAGCCTCTCAAGTGAATCGCCCCCAGGGGGTCTTCTCCCTGCAGCAGAGAGGGGGTAGTCCATTATGTTTCCAATTATACTATACCCTTCTGGAGCAAAAGCCACATAGATTCACACTGGTACAGATCAGGGCTTTCCAGACAAGTAAGAGCAGGAGGAGATTAAAGGAAACTGCTTCCTGATCTACAGTCCATCCAGATCCACTTCAGGAGGCACTGGGGAGGCTGGGTGAGAAAATATAAGTGAATCCGGACTTTAGAGCTAGAGGCAAGTGGAGGGGAGGTGGAGAGGCTGAGGCCACTGTGGCCCCCTGAAGAGAAGCTGTAGGTTTCCAGAGCTCTTTGGTCCCATGCCCCTGAGGCGAGAATGCTCTTGTAACTCACAGGATAGAAATCAAAGAACCCTGTGTTCAAGCAGAGACTGGAGACCGAATACAAACTTGCTTCATGTTTGGAGGTGGCTCATTTTATCCAGGAAACGATTCTCTTCAACAATCGATTGCACAAATTGCTGTACTTAAGCAATGCTCTCACGGGGCTGCTGTTGTGGCATAGCAGTTAAGCCGCTGCCTGCAGCACTGGCATCTCATATGGACACCAGTTTGAGTCCTTGCTGCTCCAGTTCCAATCCAGCTCCCTGCCAATGCACCTGGGAAAGCAGCAGAAGATAGCCCAAGTGCTTAGGCCCCTGCACCCACATAGGAGACCTGGAAGAAGCTCCTGGCTGCTGGCTTCAACCTGGCCCAGGCCTGGTTGTTGTGGCCATTTGGGGAGTGAACCAGTGGGTGGAAGGTCTCTCTGTCTCTTCCTCTCTCTGTAATTCTACCCTTCAAATAAGCAAGTAAATCTTTAAAAAATTAAATAAAATACTACCGTCTTCCAAGTTGGCCTGGAAAAGGAATTACATTGTTTTGCATATTAAACCATGAATACAGTGTTGGGCTGATTGAGTTCCCCTGAGAATATCAAATTAGGGCAAGCAAAACAAAATACGTTGAGTTAACTAAATAGGTTATAATATAGTGATTTTTTTTCTTCTATCTCTGAGATTATCCTTGCCTCAAAGGCCTAAGATCTTAGATCTTTGCATTGAGGAAGGATAGGAAAAGATAGAGGAGGACAGAAGAAAAAGAATTAGAAGGGAGATGAGGAGAAAAAAGGAGTGTGGGGAGAGTAGGAAGGGGGTTGGGGAGGCCAGCTCGCAAACACAGTGGAAGCTTCTAGTTGATTGGATTTGAAAACCATAGAATCTCACCCCAGCAGGGTCGTAGTAGTGCAGGTAGGCAGGGTCTTCTCTCAGAACAAACTTCCTCACTTTCCAGTTTTTCCTCCTATGCCCCTGTATCCAGGATCAACATAAGGAATGGTGAGTTCATAGCATCATTCTACACACAGTACCTACATAATAAGTATTTGCTGAGTGGAAACAAGAAAGAAAAGATGAAACGTGAAATCCAAGAGAACCAAGCTTTGACCCAGGGCTTTGTCAGGGATATAGCACAAAAGTCAGTTAATAATTTGGTTGCTTTTAAGCAGATGGATTAAATTATTCCTTATATTGATGTTCAAACTTAGTATTATATAATATGGTCCTGTGTACATGTATTGTCTTAGGTTATGTAGGGGACCTTAGGGGAGCTGAGATGTGGCCCTGCTCTTCAAGGAGATCATGACCTATTTGGAAATATAAAAGAGCAAATGCCTAAGTCAAGTAATTGATATAGATAATGGGTTTCAAAAGAATTAGATGAGGGATATACAACTGTGGGTTTAGGATGTCAACAAAAGCTTCCTGAAGACCTAAATTTATGAATATGGGGAAACTCAGGATTCAGATGAGTGGGAAACAGATGGATGGGAAAACTGACAACACCAAAGCGTGGCATATGTAGACACTGATGAATAAGACCAGTGTGGCTAGGACACAAGGTTTATGAGGAGTAGCAAAGGCAAGGTTGGAAAGGTGGACTTAGTAAAAATCAAACATGAGGATGTTGCCAACAGTTTTTGAGTAGGAAGTGAAAGACAATCACAGTTTAGAAAGATGAATAGGGTAACAATGCACAGAGTGGACCAACTGGGGGCGAGATGAAAGGGAAACCAGGATAAAGTCAATAAAGTAAAAGAAGTCCTTAGGGAATGACTGCGGTAATTGAGGCCTAAAATTATTAGGGAGTCACCAAAGGTAACAGAGATAGAAAAGCAAGCTACGTGGCTGTAACAGATATGACAAGCAATAGAATTAAACACTCATATCATCCAGACTGTGAGTTTTAAGGGCAGGATTCACCTCTTGCTTATCTTTGTTCCCCTGTGCCTGACATAGTATCTGCTTGTGAAAATTGCCTTATATCTGTAATCTCCACAAACTGCACAGTGATTTCAGTTAGCCTACAGTAAGTCATGAAGGGGCTAGAATTGTGACACAGCAAGTTAATCCATTATTTATGATGCTGGCAGTGCATATCAGAATCCTTGTTCAAGGTCATGGTTTGCTCTGTTTCCTATAGACTTTCCTGTAGACATGCCTGGGAGGTAGCAGATTATAAATATCACGGAAATCTGATTCTGTGATTTTCTACAGAAAATTCAAATTACTTAAATGACTCCAGAAGCCAAAAATAAACTACCATTAGATAAGAAGATATATAGTTCCTATATATCAATCAATACAAAGAATATTATGATTTCTAAAGCATCACATATCCACAGGCACAAATGCAAATTTTCCAATAGTTTTCATTGTGCTTACATAGTTTTACCAAACAGTACATCATTCATAAAGCCAGATCAGAGGACTATAAAGGGAGCTTTTAAGAATGGGCCTACATTTGTTTCGGCTGAGCAAATGGTTAAGGACCTCATTTCCAAAGAACTTTTAACTTGACTGAAGGATGGATACAGGAGCCCTGTGAGTGCAGAAAATATGTCTGTTTACTGTATTGTATCCAGGATGGCTTTTGCAGTGTATGAACTTCTGAAAGTATGAATTCCTACTCTTTGCTTTGGCTCATGTTGAACATAAAATGAGGACACCAAAGCTGCTACCCCACACCACTTCCTCCTCTTCTGCAGATGCAGTGTCATACAAGCTCTTGCACTTGCTGAGTGACCAAGTTATCCTGAGTCAATGGAAGAGGAAGGCTACAGGAGGAAGTGAAATCAGCCAACCCTGGCCAACCACCATATTCCCTTGAAGTCCTCATTGACATCACAAAGTGGTACACTGGAAGAGTTTGATATTAGTCAGTGGATGTGTGGTCATATGTCACTTCATGTGTGTTTCCTGAAGAATTTTAAGGAAAGCATGTGTGCCTGGGCTTTCCAACAATTGTTGAGGAACTGTCAAAATCATCTACTTAGATTCAATTTAGTTCACTGCACAGATGTTTATTGCCTATTATAGATCAAGAAGGAGACTGAACTCTGCAGCAGAAACAAGAAAAGCATGTACAGCGACTTGACCGTCCTTCCATCTCCATATGATTGAGAATTAAACAACTGGGTGTTTAATTCATTGTTATAATAGAAGATACTGAATAATCCAGGATCCTTCATTCTCTAACTCTCTCCATCTTCTAAGCAGAATTATTTGCCCTGGGAGAGAGAAATGGGAAGAACAAAGGTGGAAGAGAACGATCTTCCAGGGGAACGCAGTGGCTTCCCACATGTGGGATATATGGAGCATGGTGTCCTTTCTCATGAGAAGTGTTCTGTGCAGATTAACTCTGGCCAGCTCTCAGCAGAGGACACACAATGGTTCATGTTTTTGTGGAAATTAAAAAAAAAAAAATGTTTAATCCCCTCAGGAGATTCTGCTGTTAAACAGAGTTCCTAACTGCTGAGTTCAAAGATTAGAAACAATAAAGGGAAATATCAATTCAAAGAAAACAGAATTTTCCTTCCTCCCTATCCCTCAGCCAAAAAAAAAATTTTTTTGGAGAAAAGTATATAAGAGAACAGAGGTCCTGGATGCACATAGATTTCTGTTTTCTTTGAGCAAAAAGGAAGATGGTAAGGATGACTATGTAAATAGTTACATTTTGGTAACAGGACAAATTAGAAGAAAAAGGTCAGTGGTTTTCAGCCTTGGTTGCATAGCAAAAGTGCTTGGGAGTTGTAAAAATCCAGAGATTCTGATTTAGTTAGCCTGGAATACAATTTTAACAGCTCCACGTGGGAGTCAAAAGTGCACCAGTAGACTAAGTCTAAATTGTACCTCATAAAGCCCAAGTAAGGGAAGGCAAACCCAAAAACCTGAATCACCTTACCTCTAGTTCCCAGTATCTCCCCCACTGGCACCGTTCCCTCAGCTGACTTTTGATCATCCATGGCCTCTGACTGGGGTGCTTCATCCAAACGTGGCTCCAGGCCAGCCCAGGCTTTACCTATCACTTACTAGCCTTCACACTTTGCTTTCTGAGAGTATCGTTCTAGATTAGGGCTTGTCTAAGTGACTAACTCAAAAAACAACTGGTAACATAGAATTATAGGAGGAATCAATCAAATAAGGAAGTAATGAACTTCTCTCCCAAGTCACTCTTGTCTCAGTCGTCACCTTCTGGCACCTGTAGCCAAAGAGCAAGAACACAGAAATGTTTGGCAGAACTAATGGGGGAGCCAGCCGTGGGCAAGCGCTGGCCATGGGCAGCTGCCAGAGCCTTTCCTGCGATTACTCAGATGGTTACTTTGTCATAAAAAGATATTAGAATAGTTCTTGCATTCTTTTTTAAATCTTTGCTGTGCATTTCTTATGATCCTAAAATCCAAATTATATCTAATTTCACCTGGCCCAAAGTCCCCCTTTTGAAGTATAAATATATACTCTGCTTTGATTCCCTCCTTGCTCATCCATTCATCACTAAGTGGAAGTTAAGGTAGTGAACTCCTTCAATCCCATGGGGCACATAGACTGCAGGGAACAGGTCCTCTCCATATGTCCTAAGCAGTGCTTCTCAGCTCACAGAACAGGCAGAAGGCGAGGCGCTGGCCCTCTAAAGCAGCACTGGCTCCCGCGACTGCGCATGCCAATCTCCATTCGTTTCACCCTGAATGCTTGCACATCTTCCTGCTGCTTCTCCCTGTGGCAGGTGCTGGCCCTGGCTTCCTCACTCATTCCCCACCCTGTGTTTCTCTTACCTCTTAGCATCATGTGCCTTAGCATCTGGTAACTGGCTATAGCTTGTCAGCTCACAGCAGCTCTGTCTTCCAGAATGATGGTGGACTGTACCTGCGGGCACTTGACTTGCCCCAAGACTGCGCCATCAGACTGGATTTGACCTTTGCCTGCTGCTCCCGTGGAGTTGGCCTCAGGCGTGCCCTGCTTTGGCGCCTGCCGTGTCCTATCCACAATCTGGAATGCACGCTCTTGCTCTTAGTAGCCAGTAGCATGAGGTGTTCCTTTTCTACACGTGGCCTGTTCAGATTTCCCTCTTTGTTTAAAGGAAAGAGAGAAAAGTACCCAAGTAGTTTTACCATGAAACATCTGTCTTTTGGACGGCATCTTCTAGACAATTTGTTTCCTCCAACCAACAAAAAGGGAAATATTTTTCTTAAAGTATTTTTATTCCTATGACATTGATGAAAGAGACATTTCCTATTCCTCAGGTCGTCTTCTGCCCTCCCTGGCTTAGACCTCCTGACCTGCTGCCTTGATCATACTTAGGTATTTTATGTCTTTCACTCCATGGGTTTTATTTTCTGAATGATTATTGACAAGTAAACTAAATGCTGTTTGGTCATTTCAAAGAAAAGGATTTGATAAGGTGGACAGGTTGGAAGGCAACAGAGGTGGCCACTCACCTGCTTCAGTAAACATCCCTGCTTGATGATGACCCCTCTGAATTCCTCTTTCAGAATCACATCATCGTCACTGGAATTCTCTTCACAGAAGAACCCACTGTCTGGCTATTGGGAAACCAGGCAGCAAGATGACTTTACCAGTCTTCAGCATATATACCACCCCCACATCTCCCTCCCCTCCAGCCACCACAGCAGCTCCTAATTTTCCTTCTGCCGACTGAACATGCCCAAACTGAACTTGAAAGGTTGTCCTTGGTTAGCTCACTTTCCCCTCCTCAATTTTCTTCTCCTGGTTGATGCTGTTTTCTTGTCTGCACTCAGACACAATCTTGTCAATACCCTTTCCTTGTCCAGGCGTCCTCAAACTACATCCTAAGATGAGCTCAGCCTTCCTCACTGTGCACATTTCTGCCTTCAAAGCCTTCTTTCTCTTGGGACCTCACGGCCACATGCTTGAAAGCAGAGTGCTAGTATAGAAGACTCTACATACACAGCATTATATCCATTGAATCCTTTGCCACCCAGCCCTGTTCCTACTTTGAGAAGACCAAATGCGGTTGTCCAGCCTCATCCCTTGGGCTCAGGAGAGAATTGTGACTTGCTCAGATATGAGTGATGAGTCATACTGTGAGAGGCCACTATGATGGGTATTTTTAGAGTCCTGCATTTATAAAAGGCTAGAAACACCCATCTCAAAGGCCTAAAAAAATTACTGACAGTGGAACTTTCCCCAAAGCGAAATGAAACTCTCTCTGGGATGTTCCTTTTGTAAGAAGGATGCTTCTGTGGAGTAGATTCCTCACTTCTGCACTCTGATCCAAAATAGAAACAAAATGGCCAAAAGTCCCCCTAGAAATCCACTGTTGCTGTAAGTCTCACGTGGCCCAAGAGTAGGTCCGTGTTATGTAATACAGTGTTTCCCAACCTGCAGTCAGCATACAGGAGGAACACAAGATGACAGTAGGCAGTGACGTACATAAACATATTTTGTACTTGCACTAAGAGGTACATATTTTAATGTGTATTTGAGAAAATATACCTAGCACATCAAACCTAAGCTCCACGGGGGCCAGAATTTTTGCCTGTTTTTCCCCCTACTCTTCCATCTCCTTTGTCTAGGAGAGTGCTTGTCATGTACAAAGATAATTCACTTTCGCGTGAATTGCTGCTTAGAATAAGAAAAGAGTAATGTTTAAAAAGTCAATGTATAGGACACTGTTCAAGCAAACAATCATTTTCTTTATAAACTGAGTCACCTGGCCAGGGCTGGGGCAGCAGAGGTTCAGAATGGGCCTTCGAGCTTCAAGGCTTCGAGCATTTCTCTTGGTTCCGGCCGACCTCTTCCTCCCCTTACACTCCAGTCATTTCCCTCCTAGCAGTTCTCCTGTAGGATTGGGCCCTTCCTTTTGCATATGCGACTATGCACTAAAATCAGACCAGAATCTGCCCAGGGCAGCCTCCACCGTAAGAGGAATAGGTGGATAGCTTTTCTCACTTACAAAGTAGTAGAAGGCATCGGGATTGTCCAGAAAGGGGTTTTCAGCAGTTCCATCCGCGGCATTCTTGGACAGGTCTCCCGCAGGCTGCAGGTAGCCTTCACTGAGCAGTGAGGAGGCGATCATGAGGCCTTCCTGGCGATTCCGAACAGACTGGTTGGATACCAGCCAGTCGATGACACAGCTACCTGGACGGGACCGGCAGAGGGCAGGTTAACTCTCCTTCCCAAAGAACAAGACACTGGCCCTCAACCCTGAGCTGGCTGCAGAGCGCCAGTGTGTCTGACTTGTCTCGTCTGCCCTGTTAGTCCAAGAAGGAGAATGCAAGGTCAAGAGGGATGGCTACCTGGAAACAAAGGAGCCCTGTAAAGATTTTCAAAAACATTTACCTACTGCTTAAAAAGACAAGGCATACACATATCAGAGAAATCAGTTTTTAACTAGCCCATTCATGTATTCCACTAACATTTACTGAGCATCTACTGATGAGTTTTTGGGAGATTCACTAAAAATCTAAAGATAGAGATGGCTGATGAGTAAGTATTTTAACGAGCACTCTGTTATAAGTCAGCATGATGAACTGTTTGGTCTGATCTGAGAGTGCAGTAGGGAGGAAGGGGAGGGGGAGGGAGTGGAGTTGCATGTCAAGAAAACATTCATAGAGGAAGTGACACTGGGCCTAGACCTACAAAGCGAGTCGCTGTTAGCCAAGCATCTAAGGCAAGGGCTAAGAGGAACTGGCACAGGCTGAGATCTACCCCATCAGTTGGATTATGAGCAGACTAGGACAGAGCTTCATATTAATAACAGAGCACCTTTGATAAAGGTAGCCAATGAGAAAGCCAACACAGCTGCCCCTCCAGGGCACCCCAAGCACCAGCAGGAGTGGATGCCTTCTGTAGGATCCATAGGCAAGACAGCAAGGAGAGCATTTGGTCAGTGAGCTGTCCATGAATTTCGTATATGAACAACTCTTCTCCACTTTTCTTTATCTACAAGGATAAGCGAATGATAGTGGTTTTCTACTTCTAATCCCTGTAGCAATACTGTACTAGAGGCAGAGCACTCATTATAGACCTCATTTAAGAATAACAAGTTTAAGGCTCAGAAAGTGACCTGAGGCCTAAGCTATGCTTCTGTTGAGGCTTCACTTTTTCAGGCTTCTAACTCTTGAGTCCACACATGTTTAGTGAGGCACATTGAAGCTTCAGAGCCGAGTTCAGTTAGGTTACCCACTCACCTGACATTCAAGGTCTTCCATCACAACCTGCCACTGCCTGATCCTAATATCTCATCTCCCAGGCCATCTGACTCCCAGATGAAAGCTCCACCTGTGGAAATTTCTAGAACCTACCCTTACCTTCAGTGGGAAGAACCTATGATGTGCTATTCCAATACTCTGAAGCTTAGTTAACACATTACACAGGAAATGAGTCCAAACTACACTGGAACCCCTTTTCCTGGGGCTCTGTCATAGTGCGCTTGGTTCTGCCACGTAGGGCTGTCTTGCTTGTGTCATTTTCCCTTGCCACTTCCATGGCTGCTTGGCATCTTGGTCCCAAATCTTGGCCCTGACTTGTCTTACGCTGATGGACTGCTGCCTTATCTCTCTAAGTCTACCACGGGTCATGTATTTTTTCCTTTCCCTTCCAGAACCTGACCTGAGCCATTTTTATGGATTATCTGTTGACTGAACATCCTCTCAGATTCTACCTCTGTTGTACCTCCTCATAACTTTCTTCCTTTGACCTCTCTTGTCACAATAAGGAAGCCACACCTGTCATCTGACAAACCTTTTCCCAAACTCTAGGTCCCCTTTTGCTCCTTCTAATAATCCATCAGCCCTACCAGGCTGGTCCATTTCTCTTCCTAGACACATTATCTGCACATTTCTATCCCATAACTTTGTCCTCACCATCTTGTGCCCAGCCTCCTCATCTGAAATCCTCCCCACAAAGATTTAATGAAATCCTACCCATCTTTCAGGGTCAAATTTAGATACAATCTCCTATCACCCCCAACAAACCTCTGAGATCTTTCTTTTTTCTGAGCTCACAGAATTAATTCTGCAGACGTATGAGCTTTTTAATCATAAGAACCAAGTTGAGAAATCATAGCATTTAGCACATAGTGTGTGCCAGGTGCTGTTTCATGCACATGGTAGCCAGCTCGCGAAGTATGAGCACTATGATCAGTCCCCTTTATAGCCAGGGAAATTGCAGCACAGTGTGACTAAGTTATTGGCTTTATGGCTAGAGAGTTGCAGAGCCAGGATTCGAGGCAAGGCAGTCTGGTTCCAAAGAATATGTTTTTAACCACTTACATATGCTGCCTAAACTTGTAACACTATATGCCTTACCCTGTGCGGTCTCTGACACCCTTGATATTGTCATTTAGATCTCACATAGTATGTCTTGGCACCTGCTTTCATAATAAGGGTTGCAGCTTATCCAACTTGGTATCTATTTCTATTAATTTTCAGTATAATTCTGTCTTTGAGAGGCAAAGGGCCTTTGATTGATATATTGGAACTTCTAAAATGTCTTGAACAACAGTTTCTTTCTACTTTCTCCTCAGTTTCCATACTGGGGAAGCTCAACTTGCATGCTCACCAGTGTGCAATGTGTCACTCCCTCTGCTTACCATGCCCATGCATGCACCTCTCATGTAAGAACAAGGGAGAACTCCTTGTTATCTTCCCCAGTTGCCCCATTTCAGTGTTGCAAGTGCTTTTACCTGTGAAGCAGTGATTAAAAATCTTCTTATCTTTCTCTAGATTCAGTTCTTTCACTCCTTTCTCCACGTCTTTCATGGACAAATACAGGGCACTGCACAGAGATAAACAGATGAATGAGTGGGGAGCACGGAGAATGATGAGCTCTGTCTGGGGGTGGCCACCTTGGAGATGCTAGTCCTGAGTAGGTCTGAGTAGGTCTGAGCCTTTCTCCCCACCAGGTAATCCAGGGCAGCCTCATTTTTGCATAACTCTGAGGCCTACACAGCATTTAGCAAAATGCACTAGAATGGTCCTTAAAAATCTCCTAAATTCATTAGCCTCTTTGTTGACTTCCTGGTGTCTGAGAGGGACAGTTGCCCCAAGTTAGGTACCAAAGATTAAATGTTTTCAGGGCCAGTTTTTTAAAAAAAATTCTGGGGCCCATGTTGTGGAACAGTGGGTTAAAGCCACCATCTGCAATGCCAGTGTCCCAAATGAGCAGCTATTCAAGTCCTGGCTGCGCCACTTCCCATCTGGCTTCCTGCTAATCCACCTCAGAAAGCAGGGGATGACCCAAATCCTTGAGCCTCTACAGCCCACATGAGAGACCCGGATGGAGTTCCATGCTTTGGCCCGACCCAGCCCAGGCCTCTGCAGCCATTTGGGGAGTGAATCAGTAGGTGCAAAATCTCTCTGTCTCTCCCTCTCTCTCTCTCTGTAACTTTGCCTTTCAGATAAATAAATAAATCTTTAAAAAAAATTTTCAGCTGTTTAAAGTCCCTCAAATCTCCATGTTCCAATTCTTTAAGGGTCAAGGGTCTTTAAGAGACCATCTGTTTTAGATGTTTGCCTCCCAGAAAGCTAATATTTCTATTCAGCTTATCTCTTATTCTAAAAATGGTAATAGGGAAGACAAAATGGAAGTTTTCATTTCTGTCCTTGAGGTGATAAATCAAAGATAGTCTTGTCAGATAAATTCTAAGCAGTAAAACAGAAGGCCACGTTCGTGTTTCCTTTGGCTCCACATAAACTGAGCATCATTCCCCCACCTCTGGCTGTGGTAGCCCTAGCCAGGAATCCAGTCACTCGGTGGCCCAAACCAGCAGCTGCAGGTGGGGTCCTTAGTGGTGAGGGAAGCTGCCCAGCCTCACCACACTCCCTGCACAAACTTCATCAAACTCCTGTGACATGCAGAGCAGAGCAGTGTCATTAGTCCCTGTCAGGGGCTCTTCCCCACCCCACACCCCCTTGAAAATGGAGTGCTTGGAGACATAAATGAACTAGCAGGGATTCTTTCCAGCAGGGCTTCTGTTTCAGGGCGTGCTCAACATAATAGAACTACCAGGACAAAAGAAATCCCTAGAGAAAGAGATACATGTGTCCAGAGAAGATGGGAATCATGCAAAAAGGAAAGGAACCCATTCCCAACCTCAGTCAGGGGCAAGATTCACTTGTTGGCCTCCTATCCCTTTTAAGCTACAACCATCACCTGAACCAGCCTACACAAGGGCACCAGTAATCTCCATCCAGGATGGGTGTTTGCCTTGGCTGCCCTTTCCTGTGTGAATTCATGAACTTGAACTTGAAATCTTGCCTGCTTGGATACCTAGAGCCCATGCTAAGCCTTAGGGAGGCCGTGATCACTCTTTGAGACTCAGGTAAACATATCAGTGCATTGGGGGCTAATGTCAACCCAGGAGGATGGACATAGACTTGGGAAGTGGCCCAAGCAAGCCACAGAGCAGGATCTCCTACATCCCTCCCTGTCAGAGGCAAGAGGGGAACAAAGGAAGGGATAGAGAGAAGCAAACACAGAAAATCACCCCAAGTCAATGGTTTCTGGCAGCCGAATAGACCTCCTGGTGGATTTCCTTGCAAACTTCTGGCCTCCTTCAATACATTTAATGGCTTTCTTGATATCTCGAACCCAGGCATCTCTCTCCTCCAGGAAAGCTGCCTGGAAGTAGACGTGATGATTCTTGCTGGTAGTGATCCTGAATACAAACTGGAAATTGGAAAACATCCCATTAGGTATGGCTCCTTTCAAGGGGCAGAGGCCCCTCACGAGGCAGAGCAGTTGACCCAAACTTTTTCTGTCCAAGAGAGACCCAACACCATGGTCAAGTGTGCATGGTGGGAAGAGAGATGGCCCAGGGAGCACCTCTCACTGCAGGCTGGGCTTGGCCTAAGAGGCCAGCACCTGGTGAGGGGTCCGCTGTGGCTCTTGCTGCCAACTCACCATCCTTTTGCCAAAGTCGTGACAAGGGCTGGTCACATGGCTTCCTTGCAAGGGAATCATTCCTGAAGGCATGGCCTCGTGTTTCCACTTGTAGAATTCAATCCCATCTTCTAGTAATACAACCCACATGGGTTTCCAGGTATTGAATATACTCCCCTGTAATCATAACAAAAACAGCTCAGGAGACCCGGGCTCTTTGTAAACTGTCCTGTATTTTCTTAGCATAAACTTTACAAATGTTTTGTGACATCATCTCCATTGCGTCCACATAAACTCACTCAAATCAGTGAGTTCTCAGGATATCCTTCTAATTTCTACCCCTGGCCCTTGGCTCAAGCTAACCCTACTCTCTGGAATGTCCCTAACTCCGTCCTCCTCTTCCCGCCTGTGACTAACCTCTCTGCATCCTGCAAACCTTGGCTTGGCCACCTCATTGATGCTGGTTTCCCAAATGGCACTGACCCTCCTGCTCCCAAGGTCACCTCCTGCTTTTCCCACAGATTGTCTGACACATTCTGGAACTTGTTACATGCAGCCTTAATTTTTCTTTCACTGCTGTCTGTGTGGTTATCTTTGCTTCTCCATGGCAATGACATTATCAGGTACTTTCATTGGCTCATGGTACTAAGCCCAGGGGTGTTCATTAAAATAAAACAGAGACCATTCCCCACATCCTATAATTACCCCTGCACCTCCCTTTTCATAGTTGACTCACACCACCAAGAACCACAAAGGAACCACTTCATTTTTCTCACCCACTGCAGTTTGTAAGAACTGCAACACATTTCTCTAACCACTTTTACCCACGACCTTATAGCTTATTTTTTACTTTTTCTTTTAAAAATTTTAAGTGCCTATTTTGAAGAGAAAAAAAAGAACAAAGGTAATCCCCCAAATGGCTGCAATAGCCAGAGCAGGGCCAGTTCAAAGCCAACAGCCAAGAGCTTCTTCCTGGTATCCTACACATGTGCAGGGGCCCAAGGACTTGGGCCATCCTTTGCTGCTTTCCTAGGCACATTGTCAGAGAGCTAGATTGGAAGTGGAGCAGCTGGATCTCAAACCAGTGCTCATGTGGGATGCCGGCACTTCTTTACCCCCTACACCACAGCACTGGCTCCCAAGAATCAAATATTCTAGAATCAAAACATAGGAAGCTCTTTTGCTAGGACTTTTTAAAATATGATCTACAGGGTTGGGTGCTGTGATGCAGCTGTTAAGCCACCATCTGGGACACCTTCATCCCATGTAGAAATGACTGGGTTTGAGTCCCAGTTTCACTTCCAGTCCCTGCTAATGTATTCCCTGCTAATGTATTCCCTGGGAGGTAGCAGGCAATGGCATAAGTAATTGGGTTCCTGCCACCTATATAGGAGACATGGACTGAGGGGTTGCAGGCATTTGGGGAGTGACCCAGTGAATAAGCGCTCTCTCTCTCTCTCTCTCTCTCTCAGTATATCTCCCTGTAACTCAAATAAATAAATTATTTAAAAAAAAAAACTCATAACTCTCTTTGGCTTCTTTTTCTGGTGGGATGAGATTCAGGGCTCAGATGAGATCTGGCCTGCCCTTAGTCCTACACGCTTACCCCATCATTGCATTTCTGAGGCACAGTGTTTTGCTTTTCTAACAGGGAAATAATAATTCTATCATTGAGCCTGTAACAAATGTTAATTAGGTTAATTAAATAATATAAAAACATGCATATATAAGTGTGTGATATATACATATATTTTATAATACTAAGACATATGTATATATCAATAATGAGTTGTATACATATCTTATACATAAAATGTATAAAGTATAAATACAGTTCATCAACTATGTCAACTATTTTGGAAGGACAGGAACCTACCACACCGTGATAATGCCAAGTGCTCAATAAGCAATTTGTATAATGAGTGGTTGTAGTTAAAATCACAACATGTGTTGATAACTAGGTAAAACTAAATAAAGAGGATATTTCAAAATTATTAACATAATAGAAACAATAATATATTTTCTAAAACCATTCCATAGACATTTGCAGATTTAAAAAATGCCTTTGGCCAGTGTGAGGCAGGTGACATATTTGTATGACCTGGCCCAGTCCTGGCTGTTACATGCATTTGGGGAGTGAACAAGTAGATGAGAGCTCTCTCTAAGTGTCTGTCTGTCTTTCTGACCCTCAAATAAATTAATTAAATAATTTTCTTAAAGTTTTTAGTTTGAGTTGGTGCCAACTCCCCCTTTAGCTGTAAACCATTCTGAGCAGACCAAGGAAGTCTGCCCTTTGAAAAGACTTTGGGCACTCTGCTCCAAGAAGGAAAAGCAGGAGGTCTTTGCCTCTGTTCTTTGACCCATGATGTCACCCTGTCATGACTACGACAACACAGAATTATTATCCAGTTCCCAGCAGATCCTGTTGCTTATCTCAAACACAAAGAGCCTCTATATAAAGGTCCAGTTGCCCAAAAGGAAGCCCATTAAGGCAAAAACGATAAACACTTGAGGGATTATCATTTTCTTGTCCAAACATTTCCTTTCTGTCAGCTACCGAAAGACTTTTTAAAATTAAAGTACACTATCTCTTTTCTGCACAGGCAGACTGACTGCTCCAGAGTAACATCGCTTATTTCCCTTTTTAAAAACTGGGCAGGATCAGACACTATGCCAACACACAAATATCTCAAATATGCTTCTGTTTTACATCTGAGAGCTTCATCCTGAATATAAAGAACTCCTGTAAATCAACAGAAAAGTACAACCTAATTTGTAAAGAGCAGAAAGTGCGAACATGCACTTCACTAAAGAAAATATCCAAAAAGTTTATGGGAAAGTGTTTGGCATCATTATGTATTAGGGAAATGGAGGTTCAAACTTCACTGAGATACCACCACGTTCCCACTATACTACCCGACATTTAAAAAGACTGAGAAGAGCAAGACTTAGTATGGAGGCAGAATAACTGGAATATTCCTGGCTGGCAGAAGTACAAATGTTACATCCCATTTGGAAAAGTATTGGCAGTTTGTGCTAAAGTTAAGCATATACATGCTCTTTTCACCAGCAGTTCCATCCCTGGGCACAGATCTGTGAGAACAGAGCTCATACAAACATGTCCATGGCACCTTTATTTACACAAAACAGCCAAAAACACAGGATAACTCAAATGCCCATCAACAGGAGAATGGACAAGTAAATTGCTCAATGCAATATATAAACCCATTATTAATGCATTAAATTCATACAATAAGGAGCAAGCGTTTGGCACAGCAGTTAAGGTGCACTTGAGATGCCAGCATCACATAGCAAAGTGCCTGGCTGGAGTCCCAGCTACTCTGCTTCTGATCCAGCTGCTTCCTGCTAATGCACACCCTTGGCGGCAGCAGATGATGGCTCACATACTGAGGTCCCTGCCACCCATGGGGGAGACCCTGACTGAGTATGGGCTCCTGGCTTCAGCTTGACCCAGCCTTGGCTGTTGTGGGCATTTGAGGAGTGAATCAGTGGATAAATGATTTCTCTCTCTCTCTCTGTTGCTCTGCATTTCAAGTAAAAATGAAAATAAATGCACTGATACAATGGAATACAGATTAATGATTTTTTAAATGAACTACTGGTACAGGCATGTACTGATACCTATTGTATCTCAGATAAATCTCATAGATATTATATTGAGTGAAAAAACAAAAATATATTCATAATGTGATTCAATTTATATGAAATTTAAGAACAGGCACAACTGATAAGAAAAGAAGTTCTGATAATGGTTACCTGGGATTGAAGAATATAGAAGAAAGAGGAAACTAAAATCTTACAGGATACTGGTAATATCTTCATCTTTATCTGTGTGCTGTTTACATTATGTATACAAATGCTAAAAATTCTGGCACACTTTATGTATTTTATTGCATTTATGTTATCCCTTAAGTTCAAAACAATGTTGTTCTGCTTAGTTGTAACAGAGATCCTGGTAATTAACTCCATGGAGGGAGGTACACAGTGATTATCGTAACAACACCCTTTGGATTGGTTCTGTACAATAGAACATTAAGTTCTTACTTACTTTTCTAATTTACTCACAGAAAACATAGCATGTCCATGCAAATCATGGTCCTTGATTTAATCATGAATTTGGAGAACCGGCAATGTAAGATATTATTGAGTCATTTGGGGTCATTTGAACATAGAAAGATATAGTCAAAAACAGAATTGGAGTGGTATTAAATTTCTTGGGTGTAACGATGGTGTTGTGGATATATAAAATGTCCTTGTTCTTAGAAGATATACACTCAGCAATTTAGATAGCATGATGTCTGTAACTTATTCTCAAATATCTTAGCAGGCAATTCTATTTATGTATATTTATATAAAAGTTTAGAGATAGGAAGATAGAAAGCCAAAGCCCCCATTCATTGTTAGTAGATGAATCTAGGTAAAGAGCATATGAGGAGTCCTACTACTTTCCCCTTTTTTCTGTGGGCTTGAAATTTTTATAAATACTAGGGGAAAATGGTAAATAAATGAAAACTTACTTGGGGGATATATTTTTTAAAAAATATGTAGACAAATTTATTCAATAAAAATTTTAATTAATTGGAGATTTAAAAAGATTCACATAGCTAGAAATAAAAAGTTGCACTAGGTGACTGCTAAAATCTCTTTCGATTCTTAAAGTTAGTATTCACACCAGGGGTATCCATGATGTAAGGCTGCCTCCGTCACTTGGGGCACTTGGCCTTGGGATGGGATCAGTTTGTAGAAGTCAGCCAGCAGCGCATTCTTCCAGTCAACAGCGAGAGATGAAAGCTGCAGGAGCCAACCATCCAGGAGTTGGTACTGTGTCCCCGTGGGGGCTGTGTCAGCTAACTCGGAGGAGGATGTGTCATTTGGGAGGCATGTTCTTTATGCGCAGTGGGGAGTCTGATGCTTTGTAAAATGACAGATATCTAGCCAAAGGCTGGTAAAGCTGAACTTTCTCACAGGCCTAAGTGTCAGGTAACAGTGAAGGAATTTGGGGTGATTCCTCCCTCCTCCCAGCCGTCACTGCCGTTTTCCCCTCGGGTGGCCAGACAGCACTTCCCCTGGACCATCCCTCCTTGTTCCCCTTTTGGCTCTCACCCTCTTGATTCGTGCCTGAGAGTAAATCTGGAAGTGTGAGTATAGAATGTGTG